CGACAATTGATATTAATTAATGATGCATATTCCAGATGGTCGACTGGTAATCGTAGGCGCGCAACGAGTACAGGAGAGGTCATCGAGGCCGCGGGTTCGAATCACGCTATATGAGTTATTCTCAATCTGGCTTGGGGGCCGAATAACTTCTCCCCGAGTATGATTTGGAGCTGGCGGACAAGGGGTAACTCTCAAACTGGCTTGGGGGCCGAGTAACTCCTCCCCGTGAAATTTGCATTTTGATTTTGTTGTCTTTTCTATTTTTTCCCCCCTATTATTATTATCATCTTTGTCTTGCTTTCCTTTTTCTCTTTTTTTTTCTTTTTTTTTCTGAACAGGTATCTCTTTAGGCCACCGTTGTATTTTTTCTGTTACTGTTTGGTAAGTGTCAGTTTTTTGTTTTTTTCGTTCCTTTTTTTCAAAAAAGATGTAATATTTTTCTCTCTTTTGATGTTATTTTCATCGTTATCATTTGTTCAATTTATTGCTTTTTTTTTCTCACAGTTTTCCTTATTTGACTCATGAAAGTTGAGCGACAGTTGCACAGCAAATTAATGTAAAGTAGTTTCAAATCGTCGCCCATAAGTAACTAAGCGTGAACAGTAAGAGTTAGTGTCAAAAAGTTTCTATCGAAGTCTCCTTTTTTCCTCCCATTGAAATAGAGCTAGAGCTTTGAAAAGTAGGTCAGCAATTTAACTCAAATCCTTTCACTCTTTTCCACTTTTATGATCCCATTTAATGTGGAAAAAATATCACCAAGCTCTCCAATTAATGTAAGCACCAGCCTCCTGTTGACAAGAACCAAACAGACCGTCGATTAGGCCCCTATGGATTAAATTGTGCTTGCATAATCCAGGGGATTGGGCACACCGGAAATAAAAATTGCGTCTGTCCCAGTTCTTACATTCACAGGCAACAAAGTGGCGTCAAAGAGTAAAATCACTGCCTCTCTGGAATTAAGTACTGTAGCTAATTGTGTTTTATCAGATAAAGTATGTAACTCAAATAAAGAAGATATCCTGCTTTATTGACACTAAATGAGAACGATTGTTTTCAAATGAGTAGCACAATTTTCAAAAACGAGCATAATTTGGAAGAAAGTCGAGCAGTACTTTTACATGGAGTCTACAAAGTCTCCTATACTTTCTGTATCTCACCAGCACTTAGACCTAGTCTTTCCACGGCCACTTCAAGCTCGGTTACAAAGTTGGGTTGACTCATTTTGAAAATATGGCGGCAGAATCTCTGGTCTTTTAACTCCTAGCTTTTCCTTTCTTTAGAGCCAAATCTCATCTAATACACTTCTACGTCAGACACAAGAAAGGAATATAAATATAATAAGGAAAAATGTCAGATCGTTGGAATAAATTGCGAGATCAATTCAAGACAAAAAACATTGATTTGGACGCCGAGTTTGAGAAGTTCCTGAATGAGGTAAGCTAAACAAATTGTGTTTAAACTTCAAAAGAGTGACTTTCAGAAATTTAATCGACTTTCTTAAACAAAATTGGATGGGATATGTGTTTTCAGAGAGTAGCATAATTAATGCATGGCGATTTAGTTTTCTACAAGCGCCTTGTAAGGGTGGATAGAAATGAGAGGAAGTAATCTTGATCTAGGCAAATGTTACATACTTTCATCGACTAATTCCTTATGCAAGCTTGCACAGCCTTGTACTAGGGCATATTTTGTTTATTAATCAGGTTATCTTTTGGGATTGTCTTTTCTTAAAGTTCTTGCCACATTATAACTATTATGAAGAAGAACTATCTGTTTGGGAAGAAAAAATTCTGCTTATTGTAGATGGATAATAACGTTTTATTATCATAATATTATTATATGGAAAGACAGTCCTGAGATAAATCTGAGCATTCTGATTGGTTGTTACTTGGTTAGTTTTTTGTCATATAGACCCCTTCCACAGAGACAGTTATAAGCCATGTATCTGTATATTCGTTTGTGAAAGCTGGCAAAATCAAAATAAACAAGTTAATGGTCTGAGTTCCATGTAATAAGCTATGAATGGCCTTACTTGTTCGAGCCCTACTGTGGAATATTGGCCCTCAGTCATTATTGTATGGACCTTGCTGCACTGGGATGATGTCTGTATTGCTACAACCTTGTGCCAATATAACTCAGATGTTCCTCATGCTTGGTTAATATTAGAAATTATTATACTTCAACCTAGTGAGGAACAGGAAATGTTCACAGATCTGTTTTTGTTTTTTTAGTCCATGTCTGATGAATCCTCCCTTGGCTCTCCTCGCATGAAGACTCCTGATCTGAAGGCAAAGCCTCGTGGACAGATGCCATGGTGGGCAGAGGAAGAAGATGATGATGACAGGAAAAAAACTGAGGCTGTTCGACAAAGTTGGCTGAAACCAAAAACTTCCAAATTGGGGGAAGGAAAGCCAGAGCTAGAGACAACAAATAATGTATGATGAAAGTGAAACATCCTGTTTTTGGCTGTTTTTTTTTTTTTAGTTTATAAAGCTCAATCCACCTTCCACTCAAACTTTCTCTTGTTCATTACTGCAAAACCTAATTTACAAACTTGCCTCTGTAAATTTTACACAATAAACAAATGTCCTGCATTGCTAGCCACAAGATACTGAAGTACATGTAGTTCAATGATGGTACTCAGGCAAAAACGCCAGCACAAAATGTTGTTGGATTCAAAAGATAGTCATGTGCTCTTAACAATAATAAAACCTTTATGTCATGAATAATATTTATCAAATACTTTCAGGATACAACTGCCACAGTTGCCACACCAGAAGCACATCCTGATAAAAGTGGTGGTACAGCAATGTCTCGTGGAAGTTATGTTGATACCTCAGCTCTGTCCATGAGTAAAGACAGCCTAGAAGAAGGTAACAGTATGTAATGTATCTAGATCGAGAAAAACACTTTAATCAGAGGAGGCTTACTCTTGAAATGTGCACTTCCTAAATTTCTCTATAGTGGTTTATGTATCCTTAATAATTGATGATCAAGGACATGCTTCCTTCGCCCATTTTCATAGCACAATACTGAGTTGATAGTGTAAATTGGCCACTATGAAGAGTTTTTCAAGCTTTAGAACCGTATCTACTCAGTTGATAAAACCAAATCATCCTGTAATAGCCCCCATGGATGCAGCACCACAATTTCTTTAGAAGCTTACCCGTTTTACAGCACAGTACTTTTTTTAAATATCGTTACCCACCCTCATGTTATGTAAAGGTTTTCACAGTTAAACCATGCATAAGCTCCCCCAAAGGCAGTGAGCTCTTACCAAGAAAGGTGTGATGTGTGTGTATGTGTGCGTGGCTCATAATTTGTTTTAAGCATTCTTGTCTCCTCTTTGATGGCAGGTCTGGCAAAGTCCATGGAAAAGAAAAAGCCCTCACCTGAGGAAATACTGAAGAGGTTTCCTGTTTTTTGTTTGATCTTACATTTCTTCTCATTCATGTTAAAGATTCCTTTTTAACTAGTTTTAATTACAGATGTTATTATAATTAATAATATTATTTGGTTTTTTAGCTCTAATTTGATAATTTTTTGATGGACCATTGCATGTTTCTTGGGCAGTGGTTGGGAAGTTGTAGCAGATTTTATTTAATTAGTGCTATTATTGTAAATTACTTTTATTATGTTTAAATTTAGTGGAAACCTGTAAATTAGCTCTATGCCAAAGTGTTTGACCATGTTCAATAAAGTTATTCTTATCCTCAGCCTTTTTTGCCATGC